TGACCAGGGTACGCAAATATTGAGAAATCTTTGTTCCTATAAAGTGGAACTCCTGCAAAGTTCCTTGGGGGCTTACTCCAACTTGTTTCAACATCGGCACCAAAATATCATGAGCAAAATCCTGTTATTTCATTGAGAATGTATGCTTCGACAATGGATGCCTCAACATGATTCTTATTCCCTATTGTTTGTTTAACTTTGTGCATTTGTCTGTAAAATTTGAAATTAGATATGAGCATAACAAATTGTTATAGATTCTGTTATACATGAAACTAGTGCAAACTTGTTTCCATTACCGTTCAAATGGGTACATCCATCAAAATTGTACAGGTCCATCAATTCGCGCCTTGAAAAGAAGATGGATTGCTAGGTGCTCCATACAATCAAAAAATAACAGCGAAAAGATTCTTTCCAACTTACATATTATTTCAACTATCTTCGTTTCCCAAACTGCCATGTCTTTTATGTTGACATTTGGGGAACATAGTGCACGGAAGAAATTACTTACTTCTATTAATGAACCCCATATAAAATTTGGTAACAAGCCACGGAAAGCAATTGGAATGAGGCACTACATGAATATGTGGCAATCGTGACTCTTTAATCCAACTAAGCATTGCTCAGCTAAGTTCACACAACGTGCGATGTTGATGCAAAACCATTTGGAAATCGCACATGTTTGAGCCAGGTACATAGACATCTTTTTTTATCCATGTCAAGTGCATAACTTGCATTTGGCTTGCAAAGCGACCTAGAACTGTCATAGTACAAGTGTAGTTCTTTCCTATCACAGTATAATGGTAAGTCCATTCTTGACTTAACATTGTCTTTTGAGGACGAGTCATTCATGATTGTGTGTATGATGTTAAAGAAATTCTTCTCACAGTGCATGACATCAAGATTGTGTCTGATCAAGTTATCCCCCCAATATAGGAGTTCCCAGAAGATACTCCGTTTAACCTAATTGTGTGTTTCACTGAACTCAAGAATAGTTTGGTTTACTAATGAATTTCCAAATAAAATATCAGGTAGTGCGGCAACTCGAAGTCGAACAGAATGACCATCTAATCGTGGAGGAAGGGGGCCAAATTCTAGGTGGCCCTTAAGGAATTGAGTTGCATCCATTCTGTATGAGTGTGATGCAGGAAGAAACTGCCGATGACAGTCAAAGAAGCAGATCTTGCGACCATTTTGCAAGTAAAAAGCACGAGTCATTTCCATGCAATATGGACAAGACAGATGAACATGTGTGCTCCATCTAGAAACCATACCATAACGGGGGAAATCCGTTATGGTCTACATAAGCATGGCTCTCATTGTGAAGTTCTATTTACGAAAGCTGTCAAATGTTTCTACCCCCGATGACCATGACCATTTCAGGTCATCAATAAGTGGACGAAGGAAAACATCAATGTTTTTTCTTGGACTTTTTGGTCCAGAAATAACAAGTGTAAGGAAAGTAAACTCAGGTCGCATGCACATCTCAAGAGGAAGATTGTAAACAACAATGAAAACAGGCCAACAGGAATATGACCTCGAAGAATGACCCCACGTGTTAAACCCATCTGTTGCAAGACCAAGATGGACATTTTGCGGATTGGATGCAAATGAAGGATGAACGGCATCAAAGTGCTTCCAAGCAGTAGACTGAGTAGGATGAATGAGGATCTCCGAGTCAACACGACATTTAAGGTGCCATGTCATATGCTCAGCGATTTTACGAGACATGTACAGCCTCTGTAAGCGTGGAATAATGGGTAGATATCATAAAGAATTCATGGGTCTACCCTTTTTTCGAGTTTGAGCTGAGTTTTATTTTTTATACCTAGGTTCACTACAAACTGGACAAGTAGTGAGTGACTTAACGTCATCACCATAATACAGAAAGCAGTTGTTGACACATGCATCAATTTTGACATAGCCTAAACCTATGTTTTTCATGAATTTTTTTGCTTCATAAAAATTTGATGGTACTTTTTGTTGATCTTCTGGACTTAACAATTGCCTACAGCCCTGAATGATGTCATTGTAACCAACACCAGTTATGTTGTTTTTGGCTTTGCTGTGTAGCATATATGATAACCATCCAAGCAACGTTTGATTATTAGATGATGGTCCAAGTAGGATGGTTGAAGCATGCAACAAGTCATAAAAAGATTGTGCATGTCTATTTGGCGGATCCTCAACATTTTCAAATGCGAACTTTGTTTCATTGCTAGGGCGATCGTTCTCAGATGGACAGAATGCATCATAAACCATGTCATGGATATCATCCTCAGCATTAACATGTTCTTCAATATTAACATGTTCCTCAATATTACTTGAGGATGCCACATCACTTGCGGCTAACCATGGATCAACATTGTTACTTAAAGTTTCACCATGTGCTCACCACACAGAATATGCATACATGAAACCATATCTCAACAGATGGTCTGTTACAGTTGCCTTGCTGTGGTGAGGTAAATTTCCACATTTACTGCAGGGGCAACAAATTTCGGCATTCGAGTGAACACCTGGACGACTATATATAAAATCAAAAAATTGTTGTAATCCATTAAAGAATTCGGCATTACAATCTCCACGAGAACCTCATCGTCTATACGTCCAACGACGATCATCTATCATCTTTACCTGAATAATACAATTAAGATTTGAAGTAAATTAAATCATTATTAAGGTAATAATAATAATAATATAAGTACGTGTAATAGACAAAGAAATGAGAAAACCTAGCAACTAGTGCATAAAGGTTGCAAACACTGTTTTCAAATCAGACCGCTTGGTCGGTTCAATCAGTTGAACCAAAATCGGTTCTAAAAATGGGTCGGTTTATGATATTTATCTGTTGCAGGTCAAACCTGGTCAAAACCCGATCAAACTCGGTCAAAACCCGATCAAACCCACTCAAACCCAACCAAACCAGTGAAACCCATTCAACTCGGTCAACTCAATCAACCGAATCAAAACATTGTTTACATTTTCAATTTATTCTCTGTTTTTCTTTAATTTTTATTTTCTATGTTGGTAATTAATACATAATATAATAATTAAATTGTAAAATCTATTTAAAATCAAATCACAATTAAGGAATGAAATTTTTTGAATTATTTAAATGTAATTTGAAATTAAATTACTATTTTAAATTATAAAGTGATTGTAATTTAAAATAAATCAATTTGATTTTTAAAATAAAATAAATAGCAACTTTATATAATAAAATTGATGAAATCAACTTAAAATTAAAAATAATCTAAAGTAATTTTACAAATAAAATAATTAATATTTTAGATAATCAAATGAATGAAATATTTTTAAAATTAAAATCAAATAAAATTAATATAAAATTAAAATCAATTATGAGAAATTTTAGGAAAAAATAATTTTATAATTAATATGATATCAATATTTTTAGTTGCTTATTAAAGGAAATATATATATTAATATTTAAATAAATTTAATGAAGAAAATGAATTTTAAATTAATAAATTTTAAAATAAAGTTTTAAAAATTAATAATTCGTTTGATCAATAAATATAAAAATGATTTATATCAATTTTAAAAATTAAATCAATTAATGTAAAAATAATTTATAATTGAGAAAATAAATTAAATACTATTTATCAAGTTGATTGGTTAACCTGATCAGTCAAACCGGTTGAACCGGTTGAACCAAACCCGGTGACCAAAAATGGGTCAATCACCTTCTTGTGGATTAAATCATCAGTTGCATAAAAGAATATATATATGTATAGTAAATTAGCTTTAAGTTTGGGGAGAAATTGTGCATATATTAAAAGTTGAGGGATATAAATGTACTTATACTAAAAGTTTAGGAATTTAAAATTATGCAAATTCTAATAAAGTTAACGGGTAAGTAACAGAAGGACTAATAAGGTATACCTTTTTATAGTTTAGGAACTATAATTTAATAAACCAATTATAATATGAAGAGTACACACCATTCAAATTTATGAAGCAAAATTTGGAGTTTAACCATTACTTTATTTATATTAAAAACTTGCTGAAAATGCCATCTAAGGGAATCAAAAATTTCAAATTAATATTTAATTTTTTTTATAACAAAGTGTATTTACAATATAATAATAGTTGTACTAACTACTAATTTTTTTTCTGTAAATTATGTATAATATAATAAACAATAATAAGTAAAAAACAACGTACTTTTCATTCGCCTGTGATAGGAACAAAAAGTATAATATACAAGAAAAAATTCAAATATAATGAAGATTAGGGTAAAAACTAATGATAAATAAAACTTACTCTTGAAATAAAAATGAAGGGCAATTGGGAAATGGTACATGCAAATTGCAGAAGTTTATTTCATAGTATATAGGTCATAATTTATCAAATATGAAACAGAAATGGGTTATGAATACAAAAGATAATGGATTTAAACTATAGGATTAAAGAGGGTAGAAAAAATATAAGGAAACAATAGGAAGTTGGTAAACTTACCTTAATAAATGAAAATACGAAAGCTTGTACTGTAAATAATCCTTAAAAATCTTAATTGCCTTCTCGAATTGTGGCAAATTCTGGTAGGAAGATGAAGTAGAGATGGGAGGAAATATGGCAGCAATGTTTTAGGGGGAAGAATGGTGCAAAAAGCAAAGAGTGTGTGGGAAAATGGGTTGGCCCTAAAAACTTACATCACCAACATGGAGTGTGATGCTAAAAGGATGAGCCTTTCAGCAACATGCATTATGTTGCTGAAAAGTTGCAGCACCAACATGGAGTGTGATGCTAAAAGGATGAGACTTTCAACAACAATCACTATGTTGTTGAAAGTTAATTATATTGAAGTCAAGAATCCAAGTAGCAGATGGATGGACGTGACAATGGAGTCATACACACTCCCCAAAATATAAGATTCGGATTCGGATTCTTGGGTGTAGTTGTGTTAAATCAATATTAATAGTTAAAAATACAATAGTTGAAGTAATATGTATCTGAATATAAAATTAATAGTATAAATGATTTAATACATCAAATATAATGTAAATAAATCAAAATATTTTAGATAAAAAGTACGAGTAAAAAGGAATGTAAATTAATATTAGTACATACCATTAATATATAAGTTAAATATTAATGTTGGTTATCAACTAAATGAGTTTGCATAATTTTTAAAATTTTGTATATGACATTTTATTTTAATATAATTGATGACATATAATAAAGGTAAGATTATTGTCACATTATAAATGGTTAATGTTAAATTTTTTTTAATATAATTACTTATTATATCATCACATTACATGTTTAAATTGCATAATTTTTCTGTTTTTTAATAAATTAAAAA